GGGCTGGGGATTCGAACCCGCCACCTTAGGTGTACGTGGCTGGCGCCTTAGCTGGTTGAGCTATAGGCGCCGAGCCTGTATGCTCTTCTTGTTAAAACCTATACCAATGGGCGGTGCCTGTGGCTCAGTGGGTAGGGCACCGGCCCCATATCCCGAGGGTGGTGGGTTCAAACCCGACCCTGGCCAAGCTGCAACAAAAAAATAGCCGATCGTTGTGGTGGGTGCCTGTAGTGCCAGCTACTCGGGAGGCTGAGACAAGAGAATTGCCTAAGCCCAGGAGTTAGAGGTTTGCTGTGAGCTGCTCGCTACCAAAAAAACAAAACAAAAACCTATACCAATAAATTTTAAATTATTAATAAATGAAAGCCTACACTGAGCATAGCTGCTCATGTATGTAATTCCACCATGTTAGGAGGCCCATACAGATTCTGAAACCAGCCTGGGCAACATAGTGAGATCCCATGTTTACCAAACAATAAAAAAATTAGCTGGATGTGGTAGCACATGCCTATAGTCCAAACTTACTTGGGAAGTGTAGGTGGAAAGATCATTTGAGCCCAGAAGTTTGAGGTTACAGTGAGCACGGCCTGGGCAACAGAGGTGACAGAGTGAGATCCTGGCTCTTAAGACCAATAATAAAAAATGAATGAATGCCTATATAGTCTGCTCTCATATCCATGGGCTTCTATATTTGTGAATTCAACCAAGTGAGGACTAGATTTTAGGGGAAAAAGCCTTGTCTGTACCAAACATGTACAGACTTTTTCTTTGTTCTGTGAATATAGTACAACCACTATTTAGTAATACATTGTATTAATTTAATATAAAGATAATTAAAAGTATACAGAAAGATGTGCATATACTATCCCATTTTATATCAGAAACTTTTTTGGGGGGGCCAGGGTTGGGTCTGAACCCACCACCTCCAGCATATGGGGCCAACGCCCTACCCTTTTGAGCCACAGGTGCCGCTCTATATCAGAAACTTGAGCACTGCTGGGTTTTGGTATCTTGAAGGTTCTGGAACCACTCCCTCAATACCAAAGGACAACAGTATTCCTTCTTTCACTCCTAAGACACACCCCAGTGAATGCTGCTTTTGGTTATATATCTATAAAAACATATTTATAAAAATGATCCCCTAGGTATGTTCTGCTCATTTTATTTATCTATTTATTATTATTTTTGACACAGAGTCTCACTTCATCACCCTGGGTAGAGTGCTGTAGTGTCATACCTCAAAGTATTGGGCTCAAACAATACTCTTGCCTCAGCCTCCCCCAAGTAAGTGGGAGTATAGGCGCCCACCACAAATCCCGGCTAATTTTTCTAATTTTTAGTAGAGATGGGGCCTCACTCTTGCTCAGGCTGGTCTTGGAACTCCTGAGCTCAGGTGATCCATCTACTTTGGCCTCCCAGAGTGCTAGGATTATAGATGTGAGCCACTCCACCCAACCAGTTCTGCTCATTTTAAAAATTGTGGCTTAAGGCTCGGCGCCTATAGCTCAACCGGCTGGGGCGCCAGCCACGTACACCTGGGGTGGCGGGTTCGAATCCCCAGCCCGGACCCGCCAAACAACAATGACGGCTGCAACCAAAAAA